AAGTGATTATTACGTTTTGAATATGGATATTTTCTTACAAAAACGCATCGATTCGCTACAGGAGGCCTTTGTTCACCCCCCAGAGCCGTGTGAGACACTTTTTTTATGGATGGATGCTTTTTATTTAACTTCTTTTGGACTGATGCATGCAACACCCGCTGAGTGGCATTAAACAGCTTGAAAGATCAAAGACAATTTTTAATATAACTCCGACTGGATTCGTCTGAAAGAAGAAAGTCATATTTTTGGGTGAACTAACCCTTTAAAGATTCCTGAAAATAATGATCATGGCTTCAACAAAACATGAAATAGCACAACTGTTTTCATTATTGATAATAATTAGAAATGTGCAGCAAATCAGCATATCCGAATGATTTCTGAAGGATCATGTGACACTGAAGATGCTGAAAATGTTGTTTTGTCATCACCGGCATAAATACAATTTTTAAATATATTCAAATAGAAAACTTATTTTAAATTGTAATAACATTTCCTAGTTATTATTGTTAATTTTGATCAAACAAATGCAGTCTTGGTGAGCATAAGAGACTTCTTTCAGAATCCATTAAAAAAAAAATCTTACCAACCCCAAATCTATGAAACTTAGTGTAGTTGTGTAATAAGTGAGATGATAGTAATCCGGTCATTAATGCAAAATAAATCCCTAAAGTATGACATAAGTCCTATTTACCAGAATGTATTTTACGATCTTTGCTGGCTGATTGTTCATTGTTCCGTGACATATTCCCCACTTTTTTAATGCTTTGATTTTCCCTATTCACTTGTATAGTGTTAATCAAAATTTCTTGCACCAAAACTAGTCATAATTTACATAAATCAAATCAAACTCACATGAGTCAGTTAGAATATGTGACCCTGGAGCACAAAACCAGTCTTAAGTCGCAGGGATATATTTGTAGCAATAGACAGAAATACATTGTATGGGTCAAAATTACAGATTTTTCTTTTATGCCAAAAATCATTAGGATATTAAGTAAAGATCATGTTCCATGAAGATATTTTGTAAATGTCCTACCGTAAATATATCAAAACTTCATTTTTGATTAGTAATATGCATTGCTAAGAACTTCATTTGGACAACTTTAAAGGCGATTTTCTCAATATTTTGACTTTTTTGCACCCTCAGATTCCAGATTTTCAATTAGTTGTATATTGACTAAATATTGCCCTATCCTAACAAACCATACATCAATTGAAAACTTATTTATTCAGCTTTCAGATGATGTATAAATCTCAATTTTGAAACATTGACACTTAAGACTGGTTTTGTGGTCCAGGGTCACATATGTCCAGGTTCAAGATATGACAGTCCAGTTGAGTCATCATTGTATTACTCTATTAGAAATGACGCATTCATAAGCACTCACCTGAAGTGAAGAGAGGTGGTGGAGGCTGGGTGATCAGAGGCCGGACACCTGACGTCACTATAGTGGGCACAGAGCTGGTGATGGAGTTTGGTGGAGCATCCATACCAGAGGGCTGCAGAGCAGGAAGTGGAGGAGGAGGACCTGAAAGAGAGAGGAACTCAATAGCATTTATAACATTAAACATTAAAACGAAAAGTCAAGACCTAGGAAAAATGCTTTTCATACCTGCTACAGGTGGTAGGCTGGGTGGCATGGTGCCCGGTGGGGGCACAGGTGGTCTGAGGTTCACTGGTGGAGTCAGGAGTGAGTGAGGGGGCGGCAGGCCCGGAGGAGGTGGGCCGTCTACACCAGGAAGAGGCGGTGGCTGGAAAGGAAGTATGCTGGGAAGATTAACGTCCTCCACCACCACTGGGTCACTTCCGTGATCGAAAGGGCACATGTCTCCTCGCATACAGAAGCCTTTTTCTGTCGAGACAACCAAATCAGGATGTTACTGACTTAAAGATTAGTCTGTAACATACATTGTTCACTGATTAGAGAGTTAAAAATTCTGTACCATCATAGTCACGACAGCGTTTCCTTGGCGGGACGCCTCTGCCGAAGGGCATGTGGTCCTGTGGGAATTCTGACCAGCTCTCAGTGGTGTTGTTCCCATGGTGGGTGGGGGCGATGACAGTGATGGTACTACTGAGGGTGGGCACAGGGAAATGAGCAGAGGAGTTGCCAGGTGTGAGAGGCGTGGCGGTGTAGCCATCGGTGGTCGCGGCCTCCTGACGTTCTGGACGACTGTGCTCGTATTTTGGCTTTCCAGAATCTCGCTCTAGGAGGGCAAGAAAAGCGTTCAACAGGAGCATGACAAAGTGAGCACTGTAAATGTTGTGAAAATGTGTGGGGCTTTTTTTATTTTAATGCAAGTAAGTATACTACAGTTAAAAAGGGGTCAGTTTTTTGGTACAATTAATACTTTTATTTAGCAAGGATGCATTATACTGATCAAAAGTGACAAACACAATGTTACAAAAGATTTACATTTAAAATAAATTCTGTTTTTTTTTTACTTTCTTTAAAGAATACTGCAAATAATTTCAGTTTCCAAAAAAATACACAATAAAAAACATTTATTTTAGCTTGTGTTAATATTTTACAGCATTACTGTTTTTAATATGTGACCCTGGACCGCAAAACCAGTCTTAACTGTCAATTTTTTTGAAATTGAGATTTATATTGAGATTTGTCATCTGAAAGCTGAATAAATAAGCTTTCCATGGATGTATGGTTTGTTAGGATAGGACAATATTTGGCCGAGATTATTATTATTCGTATAATTCAGATATTTAGTTTTGTTTGTAAAATGGTACAGCTTTTTAAATATCTGAATGTACACTCTTAATATCTGTCAGTCAAGCATTATAATATGATAAGGATTAATGAGCTACTGGATTCATGAATATTAATCAGGTTGTGTGCGTTTGCTCGAACTGATTCGCTGAAATCAAAACAGGGAAGATAATAGGTGAGCACCAGCCAATGAGATTGTCGTTTGCGCATTAGTTCCGCCTACTACAGGAAAACCCGGCAGTACTTAAAAGCTGAAGAATTCCAAAGGAACTATTATTTTTACAGGAAAATACAACAAAGAATATTGTTTACATGTAGCGCATCAATTCTGCATGTTATGTAAGACTCTCGCTCGCTCTCGCTCTTTGCGCTAAGTTTACGTTACGCCAAATACACAAGCACAGGTGCGCTGCGCATCCATTCAAATGAACTGAAAAATAGCACAGATCGCTTGACGGAGA